TTAAAAAATATATATTATCAAATAATTTCTACATACCATGGAAAAGTTTGCACCAACATCCTAGCCAATTCATCAACTTGCCCCAGGAATAATTTTTAGGCTTTAGAAATTAGATGTTTCATAGTTTCATAGTTTCTAGGGTCGGAAGGGACCTGAGCAGATCATCTAGTTCGACCCCCTGCCATGGCAGGAAGAGCACTGGGGTCAAATGACCCCAGTAAGGTGGTCATCCAACCTCTTCTTAAAAACCCCCAGGGTGGGAGCCTGCACCACCTCACTTGGAAGCTGGTTCCAGACCCTAGCCGCCCTGACCGTGAAGTAGCGCCTCCTGATGTCCAACTTAAACCTTCCCTCCGCCAGCTTGTGACCATTGTTCCTGGTCACTCCTTGCGGCGCTCGGGGGAACAGGGACTCCCCCAGCGCCTGCTGATCCCCCCTAACCAGTTTATAACAGGCCACAAGATCCCCCCTCAGCCTTCTCTTTTGAAGGCTGAACAGGTTCAGGTCCCGCAACCTTTCCTCATAGGACCTACCCTGCTGTCCCTTGATCATACGAGTGGCCCTCCTCTGGACCCTCTCGATGCTGTCCACATCCCTCTTAAAGTGTGGCGCCCAGAACTGGACGCAGTACTCCAGCTGCGGCCTGACCAGTGCCGCATAGAGGGGGAGGATCACCTCCTTGCACCTGCTCGAGATGCAGGTAGATGTTCTCCAATTCATCTACCTCTTCACAAAAGCATGGCTTATATACATACCCTTTTCCACCAACTGCTTCTACCTGAATTGGATTTGATGCAAGTAAAAACCTAACTTAAATAAATGGAAGGCTCACTGGGCTTAAAGCAAAATTTCAACAATCACTGACACCATTAAAGTGTTTAGAAAATGTTACTTAATCTCCCTTCAAGTTTATATTGCAGCCATCACTGCAATATCTATGATAGATGCCAAATGATTAGCCAGGTCATGAAAATTATTATTATGTACAGTATATGATTGAAAATGCCTTGACCAGCTAATACAAAGATACTGGATATTAGCACAGATGGTCATGATGCAAAACTATCCATAAATGTCCTTGATCCTTCACAAGAAAGCAAGTTCAAATTAATTACTGGACTTATCAATTAGTACAGATGGTTCACATTCCTTATTTTACAACTCTGGCAGCACTTGATAAATGGATTTGACCATGAACAACACTCTCTGGCCTCCTGGCTGTAGAAGAACTTTCAAATCACTGAAGACAGATGTGAATGGAAGCGTGACGGGACTTTTCAGAAAACCTGCCTGATACTGAGAATGCCTGCAGATATTTCTATGGATCCTTGTTGTCATTCTTGTTCAGCAAGTGTGGGGGAAGGGGTTTACCCCTAAATCTCAGCTGCAAATGCTTTGTACTACTGAAAAACTGGACCTAAGCTATCCTGTGGAAAACAATCATGGTATCAGTGAGCTATTGTGATGGAAAATATCCTTTTGGGGTTCTTGACTCTTCTGTCACATCAGCTGACAGAAGAGAAGACAGTATTTCAACAGTAAACTTCTTGGCAAGCTGGAGGTGAATTAAATATTATAAATTAGCATAACATGCAAGAGTTTAAAAGACATGAATAGTTAAACTATTTAAAAGTACAAAGTTTGTTTGTTAAGAACAGAGAAACTGCCACGCTAGCCACTCTGTCTCCATGGGTGACCAACAGACGCTTTAGAGCAGAGGTTCTCAAACTCTTTAGACTCAAGGTACCCCTCAAAAAGTGTCAGCTCTTACTTTTCATTCAGTTTTTAACTGCAGATAAATAATAGCAAAACAGGTCAGAGTGGGTTTTTTTAACATTGTGGATTCACATTTGAAATATCTGGGTTTATCTTGTGAATCATGCTTGTATACCTAACAGTGCTAATATTGTGTGGCACCCCACCGCACTCTTGAAAGGGCCTCAAGGCATCCAGGGTGCAACAGTACCCTGGTTGAGAACTGCTGGGTGCATCTACATGAGATGTTTAATGCAGTAGGACGAATTAGTTCTGTGGGAAATGTCTCACATGTGTGGCTCTATTAGGCTGCAGAAAAACTAATCAACTCTGCAGCAGGGTAGTACTTGTAAATACAAGTACAGTCCTGCTATGCAGTTTTGGTTTGTGGTTTGTTTTGTTTTGTTTTGTTTTACTTTGCAGCATCACATGTGTAGACGCTGGCATGGCTGGCTTGGGCACGAGGGTGCTTCAATGTGAGGGCTGCCTGCCAGCTAGCTCCAAACTGGAACACCCTCATGCCCCAGCCAACCCCTCTGTAGCACATTGAGCAGGGCTAGAGCAGCCCTGGGCTGCCAGGTGGACCCCCTGCTCCCACTATGTAAACACGGCACTTGGAAACAATGAACTTGGACACAGTAAGTGCCAGAGTTTATTGCTTCACTTTAATAGCACTGTAGACACACCCACTGTGTTAGAAGGCATGGCCTTCAGGGGCTGAAGCTCCAGTTGCAAGTAAGCAGCAGTTCATAGGCCTCCTTGTTGGGAGGCTAGGGGTCAGCTGTAACTTATGGTAGATAAGTGAGGGTGGAGTCACAAAGGCAGTTAAATAGCACTGGGAAAGAGTGCAAAAGACAGAGAGGGGGAAGGCTGTGGTGCTGCAGGAGAAGTGCAGAGCCCAAGTTACCCTCTCACAGTCTGAAGAAAGACTTCAGATGTTGGTTTATCTATCGGTCTGTCTATTGTTTGGACAGTTGGTCATTTTATTGTTTGTTTTGTTTCTGTGGGACAAGTGTGCCCATGAAAATAAACTGGCTGGACAAACCAGAAAACAGCTGATTGGCCTGGAGATGGAAGCTGGGTGAAAGACCTGCTACCCATGGCTTTGGTGGAATGCAGAAGAAACCGCCCGCCGGCATGCAGTTGCTCCTGCACAACAGACTTAGTTGTACTCGGATGTGTGTGCGTATGCATGCACGTGTTTTCCTGCAGCAGGCTGAACTCTGAAGGGCTTTGACAATGACTCTGTCATAATTACCTGGTTTCTATTTGTTCACTAACAAGGTGGTGGGGTTGGGAAAAGTTAAAAGCAACTTCTTTTCTGTCGTATAAAAGCAGTGAGCCACATGGATTTGTGAGACACTTCCACATGTAACAGGCACTGCTTCCTATTTATTTCCACATAGTACAAGCCAACTTACTAAATAAAATTGCCTGCACCTCCAATCTCATAGAAACCTGGGCGGTCTGTCGGGGAAACCCAGTCTCAATAAACAGTGAAAGAGCTCACCGAATGATGGAATAAAGTGGGTTCAAGAGAAGCCTAAAGATAACAGTTTAAGAAGCTAGTCTTAACTTCGGCCACTCTTATTTAATCAGCTTAGTGTTTAAATTATTACAATTTATACTTCACTAGCACTTTACGGCTGCTATTGTCTGAAGGAGATTAACAGTTTGGGGGGGGGGGCTTTGTTGTAACAGGAAAAAATGTGTTAAATGAACATTTAGATTCTACAGTAAGGGGGGAAAATGCGAAACTGCTCTAAGACCCTCCAGGCAATGAAATCAAAGAGCTTTTTTGTACCCACAATTCTCAATTGTTCCACCTCTAGGTACTGCCAGTTAGGCAGAGCTAGCAGGGTTTCTAATCATGTAATCATTAACATCGACTATAGATGACACTAGCATTTACTTCAAATTGATTTCTTGCTTGATCACAATGCCACAGACACCAAGAAAGAATATCAAACCAGAAACTGCAGGCTTAACTAAGCTGACCACCACTTTGTTAACTCTAACCTGAAGGGAAATCTACCTAACTGAATAGTTTTAACAGCAAAGTATTAATGCAAGAGAAATATCAAATCCATCTAAAACTAGAAAATGCCTGATATTAGGTATTTTTTGTACTTATCTGCATTAACAGAACCAAAAAATCTTGCTTAAACATGCACCACTCTCATGAAATCATGGCAATTGCACTACTTCTGTTATTCGATGTTATTAATAATGTTCTACTGAACAATTTTGATACAAAACTACTGTAGTGCAGTAATGAAACATACTTATATGACTTAAAACAATGCAATTTCTTTGGCTGTAGATCAGGTTCAAAGCAAGAATGAGATCTGATTCTGCCCCAAAGTGATATTCTTTTATGCAAGTCCAAAATTAAAAATGTGTCAGAGTCCATTAACCACAGTAAATGAGATCTTTGCATCTTAAAAAAATAATACAGATGAATTATACATTGCAAGAGCACTACTGCAGTAGTCACCACTACTGTTCAGATAATTAATGGACCCACACTTTTAAATGTGAAACGTTATGGTTTCAGCCACCAAATTAACATATGTAACAGCAGAATAATATGCATCATATAAACATCCTTTTTTAAAGGATACCAACAAGTTGCTTTTCCCCAGAGATACGTATTAAAGAAAAATAAAAAACTTTGCTGCCTATGAAATCTTGAATGCTTGGAAAATAACATTTCTTAAGCTGGAGATTTTGTATATCATCTGTTTGCCAGAAGTAACGGCTAGCATCACCACTGAAGTGTTAGCTGCATCTTTGATTTCTTTTAAATTAATCGTTCCTCAGCGACCAACAGTTAAGAACAACAAAGAAGAATTACAAAGAACTGGAAAAAGTGCTTTGGGTGAAGAAAGTTTAAAAGGTAAAATTTAACATCCTCCATACTTGGGACCTCAGGCATGAAGTCTAACAGTGTCCCCCTGCTGCCCCTTTTAAAAAAAAACTGTCAACTCTCAACTTTCCAATGATCTATACATTAATCTAACCTTTAGATTCAGCTGTGATTTATTTTACCACAAAAGCAGGCACCCACTCTATAAGGAAGGTGCATGAAGTGGCATCCCTGCTATCTGTACTGTCACTTATCTTGTTCCAAATTCTATCACTTATCCCCAGATGTCAATGCAATAGAATCCAAGAGACTCCAAACACATTTTGAATAAACGATAGTTATTAAAACAAAGAAAATATGTCTTCAACTTTTGTACCTGTTTCATCAGGGGAGCTTGGAGAAGCACTGTCCTGTGACAATGTTGTCCAGCTGGAATCTTCATCACTTGGAGCCAGGTTTTGAATCCGATGTAGCGCACAATCTGTTTTGGCTCCAGTTTTAGGATGGTCCTTCTTAGTCTCAGGACTTGATGATACAGTAGCTACTTGGCCATCTTCTGGGCTTGACAGCTTGGTTTGCTGCCCAGGCAGGACATCCCCATTGACAATAATGGTAGAAGCCTGGCTGTTGCTTTGTGCAGATTTCTCTTCCATCACCACAAAATTCTGTTCTAGTTCCCTGGCTGATGTTTCCAGATCTGCATAGTAATTTAGGAAGCTCTTGGTTCTCCTGGGTTGTGAGGCCAATATTTCACAGCCAGAAGAATCCTGGGGGACTGGCTCTTTACCTTCTAACTTCTCAGAAGTTATGTTTATGCCTGCAGTGGCTGTGAGGTTTTTGTTGGGATCCTGTTGCCCTTGCTCTGCTGCTTTTCTAAGCTGGTTCTCTCCATTCTTTACCAGCTTTATGTTGGCAGAGTTGTTCCCCAGAAGAGGCTGTGCTGCTGGATCTGAAAGGCCCATGGCTGTCTGAATGTTAGTTAATGCATATTTTTTCCTGCATTTTGGAGGAGTGCTGTTCTTGGTTTCTGTGTTTTTTATTTCTGCATTTAACAGCTCATTGTGGGAGGAACGGAGGTTAAGGGTATTTGGTGGAGTGGCGGGATTATTGCGATTCACAACGTCCGTTGTGCTGTTGCTTGCCATAAACACTGCCAAAGTGTCCACACTGGAGTCAACTACAAGAGAAAAGAAAATATTCACAAAACGCATTCACCATATGCTCCCTATGTTACCATTTTTGGAAATGGGGTATACTGTTTTATGTACTGGTAACTTGAATAGCTTGTATGCAGTAAGTGATGGACAAGAGATCAGATGTTCTGCCACACAAGGTTGATTTCTTGAATAAGGAGATCCAAAGGTAAGAAAGGGAGATGAAGGTAAGGAGGTGTTAAGTCAGGAGAACACCACAAAAATTTTTACTAGCTTTTTACATGTTTGATCTACCATATCCTGCTAGGTAAACATTCAGTAGGAAGATATGTCCCTCAAAACGCTTTGGAGTCCTTAAGTTCACCATTTTCTCTCCTATTAAGATGCAAATGCTTTTCCTCCTCATCAGATAGAGAAGCAGGGTCAGGCTTTCCTTAGGGTTCACCAGTTATAAGATAAGTGATTAAGGAGTGCATGTCTGCCCAGAAAACAAGACATTACTTCCTTTCAACCCCTGACAGAACTGAAATACTGGTATTGACTAGTCCCCCCCTAAAAACAAACAAGGCAGCTAATACCTCTGAATAGCTCCAAGAAATGGTGCATACAAACAGTACATTTACATCGCCCTAACCAAGTTTAGGGTGATCTAAATGGCTGGGCTTGCAAACAAACACTCACATGTTTTAGGTCATCTTAAAAGAACTAACTTTAGATCAGCACCATATTAACCTTAGCTAACATGAATTAACCCAAACTACTGAATACTTGCATGGGTCCCCAGCACAGCCCCAGGGCTGGGAACCTTCCCCCCACTTCCTCCCTCCTGGAACCACCCCCCTCTCCAGCCTTACTTGCCTCTGATTGCCTATGCGAATGTCTGCATGCAGCAGAACCTGACTCAGGTTTAGGTGGCTTAGAGTAAGCTGCCAAACCTGAGCCAGAGCTTCCTTATGTTTGTTCATACCCTCAGCTAATTTTTGGTGACTCTCCTGTGCTCTCATGCCTGCATGCAATGTTGCTCTCAGTTTTGATGTTTTAGCTGTAAATGTTTCATTTTTACACAAAAGCAGAACTGGGCCAAACTCATCCCTAATGCAGTTCTGTTGTTTCAAAAGGTGATACCATTATCAGCCCGCCATTTGAATAGATCTTGCACAGTGATCAGCTTTACATCCACAAGGAAGTTGCACATATTCCATAATTAGACTAGAACATCCTTTTGCCTGTTAGTTGTTTCTGAGTTGCGGGCACATATATGACCTTACTTCTTCTATGTCACTGCCATACTTTCTAAAATTTAAGCTTGGGCAGGGAGAATATTTTCAGATTATGATGAAATGATCAAATCACTGCCTTAAAAAAAATACCCTCTGTACCCTCACTTTTGGTTTATTGAGACTGCCACCATAAAGTGTGGCTCCAATACTCCAAATAATTACTCCATGAATGCTTCCTGTTATATAATGCTGTAGTTTGCTTGTTTGAGAGCAGGCAACTAAATTAGAGACCAATTATTACACACTCCTATCTGATATAATATGAAGCACACACTGTTTTTTCCTAGTTTTCAAATAGGCAGGAATGCTGACACAGCTGTTGCACATTAAAATTAAGGTTTGGCTATAGAACGAAAAACTACAGTATGATGAAACACTATAGTTGAGCCAAGCCCTGGGAAACTGTTCCAGTAAAGATGATTTGCACCTTTGAGTATTTAGTAGGTAAAACAAGGGGCTGCAGTAAAACATGTATTTTCAAATCATGAAGTACTTGTGGGCATTTTTCTTTACATACAGAAATAAGGAACAATAAGAAAATATTAAATTAATGTACTTGTTAGTTCTTTCCTCTTTAATCCTCCTTAATCTTAATGGATTAAGATACATAGGCCAACAAAGAGAGTGCATCTGTCATGGGTTTTATTAATAATGCACATACATTTTATGTTGCAGCGTTGTTGGTTGTAGCTGCGTTATTCTAAGGACACAGGCAGGCAAGGTTCTTTGGGTAGATGTGGTATTCTTTATCCCTATATCTGACAAATGGTGTTTGTACCTGAAAGCTTGTAAAGAACTTTTTTCCAGCTATTGAGTTGCTCTAATGAAAGATATCACATCCATCCAAAGAACCTTGCCTGCATATATTTTTATAGATTCCAACTGTAAACAAAGAAGATATCAAAGGTTTAATTTAAAAGTGCCTTAAAATTGTGAAGTGTGTGCATTTTTGTATTCCAGAGGTAACTACATACTTCAGTTACCTTCTTGCATCTTGTCTTTCAAATGGACCTTTCAAAATTAAAGTCAGTCGTATTTGATTTCATTCAATTTTCAAAATGAAGTTGGGCACAATAATTCTCCGCTATCAAAAACGTGTATTTCTTCCTCTTAAAACTTAAAGTAAATTACATGAATTGACTTGCTATTTAAAACGTTCTGTAGTTTGCTTGAACCTTAAAAATAATCTAGAATTTAGATACTATGTGTAAAAACGTTTAATGGCATGGATATTTTGACTCTGGTTTCATGTTTACATTGAATACAATTGTGTACGGTGTATGCCACTCTTTGAAATCAAAATGTCTCAGCCAAATGAAAGGGGCTTTCAATTTTATACCATAAAAATTACTTTGATAACCTGAATCTTAATTATAAGATTATTGTCTCTATGGGACTAAATGATGCAATAAGTAGGCTGCCCAATTCAGTTTCTGCTATGCAGATTCCAGTGTCCACTGTAATGTGTCATGTAAACAAATATCTGTGTTAACTGTTTTTTTAAATGGAACAGAATTTTTTCTTAAAAGCATCTTCCTAAGTAAAAATTCAAAACACATTTCCAGGTGATTTAGTCTGTCACCGCATATATAATTGCAAATGATAATGGATGGGCCAAACATCTGAACATGCAATTTCTAATCTTTATTCATAAGCTAAGTGGAACACGCATTTAGAGGAACAATGCGAGTAAGAAAAGCATGTCTTCTCATAGTACAGATTTCTAGTTAACTTTCATTGGCTCTGTCCTGTCAAATCTGCAAAATGCTGTTCTATGTTACTGGTTAGGTCCTGCAGTGCCCATCAGTGCTACCCACTCTTCTACCAGAAACAGAAGTAGTACACAGAGCTAGGAGCAGTATCAGTTAGAGGCCATTGTGAAACAGATAGGTACTAATGGATGTGGGGAAGACCAGATGTGTATCTCCACCCCCGAGTGCTGAGGAAATTAGCAGAGGTCATTGCGGGACCCCTGGCATGGCTTTATGAGCACTTGTAGTGCTCTGGCATGGTGCCAGAGGACTGGAAAAGGGCCAATGTGGTCCCCATTTTCAAAAAAGGGAGGAAGGAGGACCCAG